TTATGAGTGTTGTGTGTGTGTGTTATGAGTGTTGTGTGTTGTGTGTTGTTGTGTGTGTTGTGTGTGTTTGTTGTGTGTTTGTGTTCTATGTGTGTTGTGAGTGTTCTGTGTGTGTGTTGTGTGTGTGTGTGTGTTGTGTTGTGCGTGTGTTGTGTGTTGTTGTTGTTGTGTGTGTTGTGTGTGTTTTGTGTGTGTGTTGTGTGTATGTTGTGTTTTGTGTGTTGTTGTGTGTTGTTGTGTGTGTGTGTGTTGTTGTTGTGTGTGTTCAGTGTGTGTGTGTGTGTGTGTGTGAGTGTTGTGTGTGTGTTGTGACTTACTTTTACTTTTTTCACACACACACACACAACACACAATGTTACGCTCGTGTTTGACAAACCACAGGACTTGTGAGGACTTGCTGAAACTGTGTTTAATTCTCGACTCATTCAAATAAACTGATTTAAAAACAGAAAGAATAAAACATGAATCATCCGAGTCGACTAGAGGCTCGTGCGATGGACCTGAAGCTGAAGCTGAAGCTCGGTCCTCACAAACTCCTCCGGGACATTTGGGGACACGACCTGAAAGCAGAAGCAGAGTTAAAGCGGTGGCTCTGTGGGGACTCGAGTCAAATCCTGAGGAGTACGACCTGGTGCTACTCAGTCCAGGTCATGGAGATGAGGCCGGGGTTTGGGTCTTTAAAGGTGGACCGACGACGCCGTGCTCCTCCACACACCTGACACACACACACACAAGAACACACACACACAAAATACAAACACACAGACACACACACACACACACAGAGACAGAGGCAAAATATCATGAGTCATTGTGTGTCAGTTGTGTGTGGCGTTGGTTGTGTTTGGTCAGTTGTGTGTGTGTTCTGTGTGTTGTGTGTCTGTATCGTGTGTGTGTGTGTGTTGTGTATGTGTGCGTTGTGTGTATTCTGTGTGTTGTTGTGTACTCACAGGGACACAGTTGTGTTGTTGTGTGTGTGTGTTGTATGTATGTGTGTGTGTATTGTGTGTGTTGTATGTGTGTGTATTATGTGTGTGTGTTGTATGTTGTGTGTGTGTATTTGTGTGTATGTGTGTTTATATATGTGTGTGTGTTTGTTGTGTGTATGTGTGTGTTGTGTATTGTTGTGTACTCACAGGGACACAGTTGTGTTGTGTGTGTGTTGTATGTTTGTGTGTTGTTGTGTGTGTTGTGTGTATTGTTGTGTGTATGTGTGTGTGTTGTGTGTGTGTTGTGTGTGTATGTGTGTGTGTTGTTGTGTTGTGTGTGTATGTGTGTGTTGTGTATTGTTGTGTACTCACAGGGACACAGTTGTGTTGTGTGTGTGTTGTATGTGTGTGTGTTGTGTGTTGTATGTGTATTTTGTGTGTATGTTTGTGTGTTGTTGTGTGTGTTGTGTGTATTGTTGTGTGTATGTGTGTGTGTTGTGTGTGTATGTGTGTGTGTTGTTGTGTTGTGTGTGTATGTGTGTGTATGTGTGTCTTGTGTGTTGTTGTGTACTCACATGGACACAGTTGTGTTGTGTGTGTGTTGTGTGTGTGTGTGTGTGTGTTGTTGTGTGTGAGTTGTGTGTATTGTGTGTGTATTGTGAGTGTTGTGTGTGTGTTGTGTGTGTTGTATGTATGTGTGTGTTGTTGTGTGTGTTGTGTGTGTTGTGTGTGTATGTTGTGTGTTGTGTATGTTGTGTGTTGTTGTATGTGTGTGTCTGTGTGTATGTGTGTGTGTGTATGTGTGTGTGTGTGTGTGTGTTGTTGTATGTGTGTGTGTGTGTGTGTGTTGTGTGTGTGTGTGTGTGTTGTGTGTGTGTGTGTTGTGTGTGTGTGTGTGTGTGTGTGTGTGTGTGTGTGTGTATGTGTGTGTTGTGTGTATGTGTGTGTTGTTATGTGTGTGTGTGTGTTGTGTGTGTTGTTATGTGTTGTTATATGTGTATGTGTGTTGTTATGTGTTGTGTGTGTGTTGTGTGTGTTGTGTACTTACAGGGACACAGTTGTGTATGTGTGTGTTGTTGTATGTGTGTGTTGTGTGTATGTGTGTGTTGTTATGTGTGTGTGTGTGTTGTGTGTGTTGTTATGTGTTGTTATATGTGTATGTGTGTTGTTATGTGTTGTGTGTGTTGTTGTGTGTGTTGTGTACTTACAGGGTCACAGTTGTGTCTGTGTGTGTTGTGTGTATGTGTGTGTTGTTATGTGTTGTTATATGTGTATGTGTGTTGTTATGTGTTGTGTGTGTTGTGTACTTACAGGGACACAGTTGTGTATGTGTGTGTTGTTGTATGTGTGTGTTGTGTGTATGTGTGTGTTGTTATGTGTGTGTTGTTATGTGTTGTTATATGTGTATGTGTGTTGTTATGTGTTGTGTGTGTGTGTGTGTTGTGTACTTACAGGGACACAGTTGTGTCTGTGTGTGTTGTGTGTATGTGTGTGTCTGTTGTTATGTGTGTGTGTGTGTTGTGTGTGTTGTTATGTGTGTGTGTGTTGTGTGTGTGTTGTGTGTATGTGTGTGTTGTTGTGTGTGTGTGTGTGTTGTGTGTGTTGTTATGTGTGTGTTGTGTGTGTGTGTGTTGTGTACTTACAGGGACACAGTTGTGTATGTGTGTGTTGTGTGTATGTGTGTGTTGTGTGTGTGTGTGTGTGTGTTGTGTGTGTTGTGTGTGTGTGTGTGTTGTGTACTTACAGGGACACAGTTGTGTAGTTGTAGCACACACAGAGACACTTGACAGTGGAGGAAAACTTTGGAGTCGAGTCCCGTGAACTCGAACGTGTTGAAGACGAAAAAGTTCAAGACTCCAAAACCGTTTTCAAAAACTTTCACAGTCAAGTCCGACGGGTTTGGACATCTGAAACAGAACCAGATCTAAACCAGGACTAAACCAGGACTGAACCAGGACTAGACCAGGACTAGACCAGGACTAAACCAGGACTAAACTAGGACTAAACCAGGACTAGACCAGGACTAAACCAGGACTAAACCAAAATTAAACCAGGACTGGACCAGGACTAGACCAGGACTAAACCAGGACTAAACTAGGACTAAACCAGGACTAAACCAGGACTGAACCAGGACTGAACCAGGACTAAACTAGGACTAAACCAGGACTAGACCAGGACTAAACCAGGACTAAACCAAAATTAAACCAGGACTGGACCAGGACTAGACCAGGACTAAACCAGGACTAAACTAGGACTAAACCAGGACTAAACCAGGACTGAACCAGGACTAGACCAGGACTAAACCAGGACTAAACTAGGACTAAACCAGGACTAAACCAGGACTGAACCAGGACTGAACCAGGACTAAACTAGGACTAAACCAGGACTAGACCAGGACTAAACCAGGACTAAACCAAAATTAAACCAGGACTGGACCAGGACTAGACCAGGACTAAAACAAGACTAAAACAAGACCAAACCAAGACTAGACCAGGTCTGGAGCAGGTCTGGAGCAGGTCTCACCCGTTCAGGACCAGGTCGTATCGGGGCGTGGAGTCGGGCGTTGGTTGGTTCGTGGCCCAGCAGGCGTCCGTCATGAGGGAGACCTGGTCCGGGTTCAGTCCGTCGGCGCTGAGCTGGACCCAGACGGGCAGGTCCAGTGGGAGCTCGGTCTCGGGCGTCACCGGGATGGTCCGGTTCTGGTCCAGATAGACCCTCATGGTGAGATTATAAGACCAGAGTCCAAACACGGACAGGACCACAGAGCTGCACACACGGACAAAGACCTGACTGAACCGGGACTAAACTGGGACTAAACCAGGACTAAACCAGGTTTAAACCAAGACTGAACCGGGACTAAACCGGGACTAAACCAGGTTTAAACCAGGACTATACCAGGACTGAACCAGGACTAAACCGGGACTAAACCAGGACTAAACCAGGTTTAAACCAGGACTGAACCGGGACTAAACCGGGACTAAACCAGGACTATACCAGGAGTGAACCAGGACTAAACTAGGACTGAACCAGGACTGAACCAGGACTAAACCAGGACTAAACCAGGACTAAAGCGACATGACCAGCCGCTTAAATATGCAAAATTAATTTACCTACAGGTACAAACCAAACCAAACTAAACCAAATCTAAATAAACCAAACCAAACTAAACTAAACCAAACATGGCGTGAGTTGTGCTTTTCTGTGTCTTTTATTTATTTTTACTGGATTTTATTGTTTTTATTTTTTGATTCTGTGGTTTATTTTATTTGATTTTTGATGTTTTTATTGTTCGGAGACGAGACTGATTCAGTCTGAGCCTTTATTTTATTACAACATTATTATTGTTGTTCTTAGTTTGTGCCACAGAAATAAAGTGGATTAACCAAACCAGACCTAACCAGACCAAACCAGACCAAAACAGACCAAACCAGACCAAAACAGACCTAACCAGACCTAACCAGACCAAACCAGACCAAACCAGACCTAACCAGACCAAACCAACCCAAACCAGACCTAACCAGACCTAACCAAACCAAAACCAGACCTAACCAGACCTAACCAGACCAAACCAGACCTAACCAGACCTAACCAAACCAAACCCAAACCAGACTGAACCAGACCCAAATCAGACCCTAACCAGGCCTAACCAGACCAAACCAGACCTAACCAAACCAACCCAAACCAAACCAGACCTAACCAGATCTAACCAAACCCAAACCAGATCTAACAAGACCTAACCAGACCTAAGCAGACCTAACCAAACCAAAACTAGACCTATCCAGACCTAACCAACCCAACCCAGACCTAACCAGACCAAACCAGACCTAACCAGACCTAAGCAGACCTGTCCTTGATCTTGAGGGCCACGGTCCTGATCTGGGGCTGGTTGTAGAAGCAGGAGAAGTCCAGCTCAAACTGGTTTTCTCGGGTGATGACGCTCGTTTGGTTCTGGAACGTCACTTTGTTCTTAAACCAGAGCTGCTCGTTCTCGCTCTGCCGCAAAAACACAAAAACACAAAAACGCCACAGTCACACTTTACTGTCGCCACGGAAACGCAACACGGAGTATTATTATTATTATTATTATTATTATTATTATATTTCTCAGAACAGTTTTGATTTCAACTTGATTTAAACTCACGGTGATTTCGGCGCCGCACGTGTTCGCCAAGTCGAAGGAAAACGTGATCATGTGGTTCTGGTCCAGCTGCCCGGTGCACGACGGATCGTTCAGGTGCAACAGCTCGTAGTCCACGCCTCTCTCGGCCAATAGGCACGCGGCGAAAGTCAGGGAGGCGGAGTTATGACTGCACACGGCGGGCTCACCTGGAACACACACACCTCCTGTTTTACCTAAGGTGTGGTTCAGTTTTACCTAGGGTGTGGTTGTGTTTTACCTAAAGTGTGGTTGCGTTTTACCTAAGGTGTGGTTCAGTTTTACATAAAGTGGGGTTGTGTTTAACCTATGGTGTGGTTGTGTTTTATCTAAGGTGTGGTTGTATTTGACCTAAGGTGTGGTTTTGTTTTTACTTGACGTGGTTGTGTTTTACCTAGGGTGTGTTTGTGTTTTACCTAGGGTGTGGTTGTGTTTTTGCTTAAGGTGTGGTTGTGTTTGACCTAAGGTGTAGTTTTATTTTACCTAAGGTGTGGTTGAGTTTTACATAAAGTGTGGTTGTGTTTTATCTAAGGCAGGGGTGGGCAAACTTTTTGGCTTGCGGGCCACATACGGTCCTAAAATTTGACTGAAGGGCCGGACAGAAGATGGTACATGACGTGTTCAGAGCTCAGTTTGAGTGGGACACACACTAACACTTGAAAGAGTCAGACACATAAAAGTGCTTAGACCTGCTCCACTGCTCCACACAGACGTGTGAGTGTTTTAAACCCGACGTCCTCAACTCTAACTGAACAACAGCTTCTGAACAAAACTCACACTGAATAGTTCTACATGTTGAACAATAGACGTGTGTGCACTTCTATTGTTCTACATGTCGACATGTCTGCATGTCCAACCCTGCAAACACAGTGAACTCAGACGCAGTGATTTTTTTTGTAATGAAAATCACAACAAGAGTTTCTGAGTTTCTCATGTTTGATTTTTACCAACGTGACACAGAAACAGTGCAGCCTTATATCTTGAACACCACTACTTCACTCATGGTCCCAATAACTCCCACTTTCCCAATAATTTTCCCATAAAGCATTGCGGCCAACATAATACGCCGCACCTCAATGTCAATATTGCGCCATCTACTGGGAAACACCGGAAATACATGACAAATAAAACATCAACAAGGTTTATTATTGTCATTTATTCCAGTTCTTTGGGCCGGATTAAAAGGTTTAAAGGGCTGCATACGGCCCCCGGGCCATAGTTTGCCCACCCCTGATCTAAGGGGTGTTTGTGTTTTTACCTAGGGTGTGGTTGTGTTTTTACCTAGGGTGTGTTTGTGTTTTTACCTAGGGTGTGTTTGTGTTTTTACCTAGGGTGTGTTGTGTTTTTACCTAGGGTGTGTTTGTGTTTTTACCTAGGGTGTGTTTGTGTTTTTACCTAGGGTGTGGTTGTGTTTTTACCTAGGGTGTGTTTGTGTTTTTACCTAGGGTGTGGTTGTGTTTTTACCTAGGGTGTGGTTGTGTTTTTACCTAGGGTGTGTTTGTGTTTTTACCTAGGGTGTGTTTGTGTTTTTACCTAGGGTGTGGTTGGAGGTGAACAGGCTGCGGCAGAGACACGTTTCTTTGTTCGTCTGAATTCCACAAAACTCATGTTCACTACAGGAAGTGTCCAGACAGACGCCGACCTCCGACCCTGCGACGAGAACAACTGAGACAGGAGCAGACAGGAGCAGACAGGAGCAGAGCAGGAGCAGACAGGAGCAGACAGGAGCAGACAGGACAGGCAGGACAGCAGGCAGGAGCAGACAGGAGCAGCAGGAGCAGACAGGAGCAGACAGGAGAGCAGAGCAGGAGCAGCAGGAGCAGACAGGAGCAGACAGGAGCAGACAGGAGCAGACAGCAGACAGGGCAGCAGGAGCAGACAGGAGCAGAGCAGGAGCAGACAGCAGCAGACAGGAGCAGACAGGAGCAGACAGGAGCAGAGGCAGGAGCAGACAGACACAGACAGGAGCAGACAGGAGCAGACAGGAGCAGACAGGAGCAGGCAGACAGACAGGAGCAGACAGGAGCAGGCAGGTGTTGTCCTGACCACACGGGACGAAGCTCCTCCAGTCGGGGGGGGTGTTGTCCACGAAGGAGCAGGCGGTGGCGTAGGCCTGGTGCGCGGCGCAGTCCAGCCCGTCCACGAGGGGGTAACGGCACAGAGTGTCGATGCAGGCGACGTAAAACGAGGAGACGTCCAGATTACAAAAGCCGTACAGGTCGTTCAGGTGATTACACCTGCGGCAAAAACACAAAACAGTTGACGAAAAAACACACACCATGATCCTCTGCTTTGTGTGTGTGTGTGTGTGTGTGTGTGTGTGTGTGTGTGTGTGTGTGTGTGTGTGTGTGTGTGTGTGTGTGTGTGTGTGTGTGTGTGTGTGTGTGTGTGTGTGTGTGTGTGTGTGTGTGTGTGTGTGTGTGTGTGTGTGTGTGTGTGTTGTGCGTCTCACTGGTGTGTGTGTGTGTGTGTGTTGTGCGTCTCACTGGTGTGTGTGTGTGTGTGTGTTGTGCGTCTCACTGGTGTGTGGCGTTCTCACAGTCGACAGTCGGGTCTGGTTCGTCTTGGAAGAACATGTCACATCTGCAGCAGAAACACGTTTAGAAACAGAAGAAACAGAAGAATCGATTCATCCCAAACCCACAACCCCGAGACTGAACGAGGACGAGGACCAGAGTGAGGACCACTGTCCACCAGGGACATCCAAGCTCCAGAAGAACATCAAGGACAAGACCCTGAGAGACGACATCCACAGAGACGTCCACAGAGAACGTCTCAGACAGAGGAGCTCAGAACTGAAGAGACTGAGACCAAGAAATCCTCTCAAAGGCCTGAGAGGACTGAAGGACACACAGAGGACTGAAGGACACGCAGAGAGGACTGAAGGACACACAGAGAGGACTGAAGGACACGCAGAGAGGACTGAAGGACACACACACAGAGAGGACTGAGGATGAAGGACTGAAGGACACACAGAGAGGACTGAAGGACACACAGAGGACTGAAGGACACACAGAGAGGACTGAAGGACACACAGAGAGGACTGAAGGACACACAGAGAGGACTGAAGGACACACAGAGGACAGAGAGGACTGAGAGGACTGAAGGACAGAGGACTGAAGGACAGAGAGGACTGAAGGACACACAGAGAGGAAGAGAGGACTGAAGGACACACAGAGAGGACTGAAGGACACACAGAGAGGACTGAAGGACACACAGGAGAGAGGACACAGAGAGGACTGAAGGACACACAGAGAGGACTGAGGACTGAAGGACACACAGAGAGGACTGAAGGACACACAGAGGACTGAAGGACACACAGAGAGGACTGAAGGACACGCAGAGAGGACTGAAGGACACACAGAGGACTGAGAGAGGACTGAAGGACACACAGAGAGAGACTGAAGGAGAGGACTGAAGGACACACAGAGGACTGAAGGACACACAGAGAGGACTGAAGGACACACAGAGGACTGAAGGACACACAGAGGACTGAAGGACACACAGAGAGGACTGAAGGACACGAGGACTGAGAGGAAGGACACACAGAGGACTGAAGGACACACAGAGAGGACTGAAGGACACACAGAGAGGACTGAGAGGACTGAAGGACACACAGAGAGGACTGAAGGACACACAGAGGACTGAAGGACACACACAGAGAGGGAGGAACGAGAGGACTGAAGGACACACAGAGAGGACTGAAGGACACACAGAGGACTGAAGGACACACAGAGAGGACTGAAGGACACACAGAGAGGACTGAAGGAAGAGAGGACTGAAGGACACACAGAGAGGACTGAAGGACACAGAGAGGACTGAAGGACACACAGAGAGGACTGAAGGACACACAGAGAGGACTGAAGGACACACAGAGAGGACTGAAGGACACACAGAGGACTGAAGGACACACAGAGAGGACTGAAGGACACACAGAGAGGACTGAAGGACACACAGAGAGGACTGAAGGACACACAGAGAGGACTGAAGGACACACAGAGGACTGAAGGACACACAGAGAGGACTGAGGACTGAAGGACACACAGAGAGGACTGAAGGACACGGACTGAAGGACACACAGAGACACACAGAGGACTGACTGAAGGACACACAGAGAGGACTGAAGGACACACAGGACAGAGAGGACTGAAGGACACACAGAGAGGACTGAAGGACTGAAGGACACAGAGAGGACTGAAGGACACACAGAGAGGACTGAAGGACACACAGAGAGGACTGAGGACTGAGGACACACAGAGGACTGAAGGACACACACTGAAGGACAGAGAGGACTGAAGGACTGAAGGACACACAGAGAGGACTGAAGGACACACAGAGAGGACTGAAGGACACACAGAGAGGACTGAAGGACACACAGAGAGGACTGAAGGACACACAGAGGACTGAAGGACACACAGAGAGGACTGAAGGACACACAGAGGACTGAAGGACACACAGAGGACTGAAGGACACACAGAGAGGACTGAAGGACACACAGAGGACTGAGAGGACTGAAGGACACACAGAGGACTGAAGGACACACAGAGAGGACTGAAGGACACACAGAGGACTGAAGGACACACAGAGGACTGAAGGACACACAGAGGACTGAAGGACACACAGAGAGGACTGAAGGACACACAGAGAGGACTGAAGGACACACAGAGGACTGAAGGACACACAGAGAGGACTGAAGGACACACAGAGAGGACTGAAGGACACACAGAGAGGACTGAAGGACACACAGGAGTCCTCATCCTGGAACATAGGAGAACCAGAGGAACAGAGGAACAGAGGCCCAGATCTATCACACCAGACAAGCCCCACAGGCTCCTGAGGCTCCTGAGACAGTCACATCACTGCAGGTGTCAGATGTTCATGTCTCCATCACCAAGTGGAGCCAAAGTCACAGAAACATCTGAGCAGAGTTCGGGCTGGAGACCAACAGGATCAAGATGGGAAACATCTCCAAAGGTTGTGGAGAACAATTGAGCCAAGGTCCTGTGGGACTTCAGATACAGACTGACAGGATGGTGATGGACCAACCAGACAGAGTGGAGCTGGAGAAGAACAGAGCAGAGCTGTGGTGGTGGAACATCTCAACACCAAGAGATGGAACATCAGGAGAAAGGAACACGAGAAACTAGAGAAACACCAGGGGCTCAAGGAGGAGCTGGAGAAGGTCTGGAAGGTGAAGGCATCAGTGGAGCCTGTGGTGATCGGGGCACTCAGGGGGTGTGAGCTACAGTAGATCCAGGAGAAACATCAGAACATCTCAGTCCAGAAAAGTGCAGAAGAGGAAGAGCAGTCTTACCCTTCCTCGCTCAGAGTCGTGGACTTGGCTTCATGCACGAGTAGAGCTCCAGAGCACAGACCAGACACAGTCTCGTCTGCAGAAACAAGACAAACAGATTTGGATTTGTCACAGTTTTGACAAACAAACACACATGGAGAAAAACCCCAGGATCACGTCGAGCCGATAATACGAACGTTTGAACGTCTTACAAATAGAACGACGATCCTGGAAGAAGAACGAAGACAAACATGTTCTACAGGATCCAAGAATCCCAGAGACCTGTTGGACGATTTCAGTCCTGTGAGCGAATTCTTCAGGATCCTGAGATATTTTACAGGATTAGAGTCCAAAACACAAAACCCCTTTACACTCTTTAGGTCCGAGTCTCGTGGAGAGTTTCTGTTGTCACGGCGACGAACACGGCGCGGGCGACATCGGCGACGTAATAATATTTTTGACTCGTTTTGTCCTGATCTCGTTTTTTTTGCGTCGCTTTTGTTTCCTGAGGCTTTTTAATCCGTGTGTCATTCCTTCATTCGTTTTTCAAAATAAAACCAAAAAAAAGAAAACGAAAAAATAACTGCCATTTTCTTCATTATTTATCCAAAACCAAAATGAAAAAAAAAAAAAAAAGGATAATGAATCGTTTTTTCAGTTTTCAATTTCGTGTTTAAATGAAAAATGGAAAAAACGGATAACGACCGTTTCCGTGACTTAAACAGTGACGCTGGACTTTTGCGCTACATACGGACTAAACGGGACTGAACCAGGTCTAAATGGGTCTCAGTCCTGGTTTGGTCCCGATCTCAGTCCTGGTCCTGGTCTCAGTCCTAAATCAGGACTAAACCAGGACTGAAGCAGGAAGACTGTCGGGTGATCAGGAAACTGGGACCAGACCGGGACTGAGACGAGGACTGAGACCTGGTTTAGACATGGTTTAGACCTGGTTTAGACCTGGTTTAGACCTGGTTTAGTCCTGGTTCAATTCCAGTTTAGACCTAGTTTAGTCCTACTTTAGTCCTGGTTCAATACGGCATCGTTTAAGTCATGGAAACAGGAAACAGTCGTTATCCGTTTTTTCCATTTTTCACTTCAACACAAAATCGAAATTAATAATTTTTTGGTTTTTGACACAAATAACGAACAAAATAGTTTTAGTTTTTTTTTTAGCTTTATTTTGGAAAACTAACAAACAAGCGACACACCGATTCATTTTCTTCATCGGGTGAAAAATGAACCGAGGAGACAAAGAGGAGGAAGAGAAGAAAGAGGAGGAAGAGGAGGAGGAAGAGTAGTAGAGTTGCGTTCGTACCGAGGAGCTTTATCACTGCGGAGAAGCCGTCAAAGATCAGCTCAAAGACGTTGGGGACGAGGAGCAAGACGCCGCTGGATCCTCTGGAGACACTGACCCCCTCAGGCAGCGGAACCTCACCAATGTTCACCACAGCACCGTTCACCTGCAACGGAGACACAGCGTGACCCCTGACCCCCTCCGTCCCTCAGTCTGTCCCTCAGTCCGTCTCTCAGTTCATCCTTCAGTCCAGCTTTCAGACCATCCTTCAGTCCTGTCCTTTCATCCTTCCTTCAGTCCATCCTTCAGTTTGTCCTTCAGTCCATTCCTCAGCCTGTCCCTCAGTTTGTCCTTCAGTCCATTCCTCAGCCTGTCCCTCAGTCCGTCCTTCAGCCTGTCCCTCAGTCCGTCCCTCAGTCGGTCCTTCAGTCCATCCCTCAGTCCGTCCTTCCGTCCGTCCTTCAGCCCGTCCCTCAGTCCGTCTCTCAGTTCATCCTTCAGTCCAGCCTTCAGACCATCCTTTCATCCTTCCTTCAGACCATCCTTCAGTCCATCCTTTCATCCTTCCTTCAGTCCATCCTTCAGTCCGTCCCTCAGTCCATCCTTCAGTCCATCTCTCAGTCGGTCCTTCATTCCATTCTTCAGTCCGTCCTTCAGTCCGTCCTTCAGTCCGTCCCTCAGTCCGTCCTTCAGTCCGTCCTTCAGTCCGTCCTTCAGTCCGTCCCTCAGTCCATCCTTCAGTCCATCCCTCAGTCGGTCCTTCATTCCATCCTTCAGTCCGTCCTTCAGTCCATCCCTCAGTCGGTCCTTCATTCCATCCTTCAGTCCGTCCTTCAGTCCGTCCCTCAGTCCGTCCTTCAGTCCGTCCTTCAGTCCGTCCCTCAGTCCGTCCTTCAGTCCGTCCCTCAGTCCGTCCTTCAGTCCGTCCTTCAGTCCGTCCCTCAGTCCGTCCTTCAGTCCGTCCCTCAGTCCATCCTTCAGTCCGTCTCTCAGTTCATCCTTCAGTCCAGCCTTCAGACCATCCTTCAGTCCATCCTTTCATCCTTCCTTCAGTCCATCCTTCAGTCCGTCCCTCAGTCCATCCTTCAGTCCATCCCTCAGTCGGTCCTTCATTCCATCCTTCAGTCCGTCCTTCAGTCCATCCCTCAGTCGGTCCTTCATTCCATTCTTCAGTCCGTCCTTCAGTCCGTCCTTCAGTCCATCCCTCAGTCCGTCCTTCAGTCCATCCCTCAGTCCATCCTTCAGTCCATCCCTCAGTCGGTCCTTCAGTCCATCCCTCAGTCCGTCCCTCAGATGGACGTCTTTTGTGTCTTTGTCCTGGAGTGTCTCTTCTGTGGTGAGACGTTTGAGGACGTGTGTGAAAAATGGTTGAGTCCATGTGGTGTTGAGGTGTTCACCTGCAGCGCTGCTCCAGGGCCCAGCCTGAAGTTTGAGGGCCCCACGCTGAGCTCCAGATGGTCCAGCAGAGGAACGTCTCGACGCCGCTGATCCCTGAAAACGGCCGCCAGCGACACCTGGTCCTTGAGCAGCAGCGTGTAGGCGCAGCGATCTTTTATCATGTGTCGTACCTGGAGTTTGTCGATCACGCCGGACATCATGACGGAGCACAGCTTTGGGGGGGTCACACACCTGAGGGACCAGAGGGACCAGAGGGACCAGAGGGACCAGAGGGACAAGAGGAACCAGAGGGACCAGAGGAACCAGAGGGACCAGAGGGACCAGAGGGACCAGAAGGACAAGAGGGACCAGAGGAACCAGAGGGACCAGAGGGACCAGAGGGACAAGAAGGACAAGAGGGACAAGAGGGACAAGAGGGACCAGAGGGACCAAGAGGGACAAGAGGGACAAGAGGGACAAGAGGGACAAGAGGGACAGAGGGACAAGAGGGACCAGAAGGACAAGAGGGACAAGAAGGACCAGAGGACCAGAGGGACAAGAGGAACCAGAGGAACCAGAAGGACCAGAGGGACCAGAGGGACAAGAGGTACAAGAGGGACCAGAGGGACAAGAGGGACAAGAAGGACCAGAGGGACAAGAGGAACCAGAGGAACCAGAGGGACCAGAGGGACAAGAGGAACAAGAGGGACAAGAGGGACAAGAGGGACAAGAGGGACCAGAGGGACAAGAGGGACAAGAGGAACCAGAGGGACAAGAGGGACAAGAAGGACCAGAGGGACAAGAGGGACCAGAGGGACCAGAGGGACAAGAGGGACAAGAGGAACCAGAGGGACAAGAGGGACAAGAAGGACCAGAGGGACAAGAGGAACCAGAGGGACAAGAGGGACAAGAGGGACAAGAGGAACCAGAGGGACAAGAGGGACAAGAAGGACCAGAGGGACAAGAGGGACCAGAGGGACCAGAGGGACAAGAGGGACAAGAGGAACCAGAGGGACAAGAGGGACAAGAAGGACCAGAGGGACAAGAGGGACAAGAGGAACCAGAGGGACAAGAGGGACAAGAAGGACCAGAGGGACAAGAGGGACAAGAGGGACAAGAGGGACAAGAGGGACCAGAGGGACAAGAGGGACAAGAGGGACAAGAGGAACCAGAGGGACCAGAGGGACCAGAGGGACAAGAAGAAACCAGAGGGACAATCAGAAGAAATAGACAAATCATGTATGAGTCAAACACTGGTGGTCAAAGTCCGTGACGTGAGGTTTACAGCTGAGGCCACGTCAGACTGTTCATAGAAATGGACATTCTCAATTCCAAACTTGCATCCTGAATTTCAGACTTCCGGTCATCATGCAATCCAAACTGGGAAGGATCCTCCGAAAAAGTGATCATCAAACCTCCATGTTTGTTTTCCAAGTGGGATGTGTCTGTTGACAAAGTCGATCTTTTCAAGACTTTCTAGTAACTGTGTGTTTGCTGGATCCTAACAGCGGAAAACGACTCGAGAAACGGGCTTCAGAAGTTTGAGAACTTCATAAGTGCAAAAGTGAATCAGATCCGTTCAAACTGTTTCTCTTCCCAACGGAATTGAAAAATAGTGAAAGGTGAAGGTGATGGGCAGAATTGATCCACAGGAAGAACCAAAAAGGAAACATTTGACTATAAGAAGTCATCCCGAGTTTACAGAGAACATTTTGTATGTGGAGCCACGACAAAACAAAATCGGGTTTGTTAATGTAGAGGAGCAGAAGACAAACAGACTGAGCTGCACTTTCTTGTTCTTGTGGTTTTACACAAACATCACGTCTTGGTCTTTGCAGTGGAAGGTGTTTCTTGGTGAACAGTTGGAGACTTTCACTTTGGCGTCGACTTTTTAAATTCGTAACCGAGGTTGAGCGAAGGATCAGGATTTTGTTTTGTCGTGGCTCCACATACAAAATGTTCTCTGTAAACTCGGGATGATTTCTTAGTCAGACAAATGTTTCCTTTTTGTTTCTTCCTGTGGATCGATCCTGCCCATCACCTTCACCTTTCACTATTTTTCAATTCCGTTGGGAAGAGAAACAGTTTGAATGGAGGTTTGAGTCACACATCTGATTCACTTTTGTAATAACGGAGTTTGCAAACACATTTCTCGAGTCATTTTCCACCGTTTGGATCCAACAACCACAACAATTAACGACGTCCGAATCCCAAAACTAAAATAAGACAATATCAGAACCAGAAACAAAAGTGAAATGGTTCAAAAGACTTGAAAAGATCGACTTTGACAACAGACACGTCCCACTGGGAAAACAAACATGGAGCTTTGATCATCACTTTTTCACATTATCTTTCTCAGTATGAATTGTGCAATGACCAGAAGTCCTCAGGTCTCAGGTCTGGTCTTTGGTCTCAGGTCTCAGGTCTCTGGTATCTGGTATCTGGTATCTGGTCTTGTCTCTAGTCTCAGGTCTCTGGTCTTTGGTCTGGTCTTTGGTCTCTGGTCTGGTCTTTGGTCTCTGGTCTCTGGTCTGGTGTCTTTGGTCTCTGATGTGGTCTCAGGTCTCTAGTCTCTGATGTGGTCTCAGGTCTCTGGTCTGGTCTTTGGTCTCTGGTCTGGTCTTTGGTCTCTGATGTGGTCTCAGGTCTCTGGTCTCTGGTCTCTGGTCTGGTCTTTGGTCTCTGATCTCTGGTCTGGTCTTTAGTCTGGTCTGGTCTGGTCTCAGGTCTGGTCGGGTCTCAGGTCTTTGGTCTTTGGTCTGGTCTTTGGTCTCTGATGTGGTCTCAGGTCTCTGGTCTCTGGTCTGGTCTTTGGTCTTTAGTCTGGTCTGGTCTCAGGTCTGGTCGGGTCTCAGGTCTCAGGTCTCAGGTCTCAGGTCTTACACTGCCTTGTCACATCTCCAGTCACAGTATTTCATGATGTAGAGGGCGTAGTTTAGTTCGATCGTTTCTGTTTGTGAACACGTGGCGATCGCGCTGCCGTCGCAGCCGTCAAGATCTGCCATCACGAAGTCCAGGGAGTCGCCTGGAAAATGGAGGAAAGATTCAGTATTTAGAAATGAAACGTGGGGCAGCAGAAGTTCTGGACTGTGCACAGTGTGTATCTGAGATGTTCTGATGTTTCTCCTGGATCTACTGTAGCTCACACCCCCTGAGTGCCCCGATCACCACGGGCTCCACTGAGGCCTTCACCTTCCAGACCTTCTCCAGCTCCTCCTTGAGCCTCTGGTGTTTCTCTAGTTTCTCGTGTTCCTTTCTCCTGATGTTCCATCTCTTGGTGTTGAGATGTTCCACCACCACGGCTCTGCTCTGTTTCTTATCCACCACCACTATGTCTGGTTGGTCCATCTCCATCCTGTCAGTCTGTATCTGAAGTCCCACAGGACCTTGGCTCGATTGTTCTCCACAACCTTTGGAGATGTTTCCCATCTTGATCCTGTTGGTCTCCAGCCCGAACTCTGCTCAGATGTTTCTGTGACTTTGGCTCCACATGGTGATGGAGACATGAACATCTGACACCTGCAGTGATGTGACTGTCTCAGGAGCCTCAGGAGCCTCAGGAGCCTCAGGGGCCTCAGGAGCCTCAGGAGTCTCAGGGGCCTCAGGGGCCTCAGGAGCCTCAGGAGCCTCAGGGGCCTCAGGAGCCTCAGGAGCCTCAGGGGCCTCAGGGGCCTCAGGAGCCTCAGGGGCCTCAGGGGCCTCAGGGGCCTCAGGAGCCTCAGGGGCCTCAGGAGCCTCAGGGGCCTCAGGAGCCTCAGGGGCCTCAGGGGCCTCAGGAGCCTCAGGGGCCTCAGGGGCCTCAGGAGCCTCAGGGGCCTCAGGGGCCTCAGGAGCCTCAGGAGCCTCAGGGGCCTCAGGGGCCTCAGGAGCCTCAGGAGCCTCAGGGGCCTCAGGGGCCTCAGGAGCCTCAGGGGCCTCAGGGGCCTCAGGAGCCTCAGGAGCCTCAGGGGCCTCAGGGGCCTCAGGGGCCTCAGGAGCCTCAGGGGCCTCAGGGGCCTCAGGGGCCTCAGGAGCCTCAGGGGCCTCAGGGGCCTCAGGAGCCTCAGGAGCCTCTGTGTTTGAAATGAGTTTTTGGTTTGAGGTTCGACTCTGAGGTGAAACAAAACATGTGATTCAGTGAAACAGACGTGAGGCTTTTGAAACTTAAACATTTGATTTTATTTTACACTTTTATTATTATTATTATTATTATTATTATTATTATTATACAAATAAAAGTAGTAAACTTGATATTATTATTGAAGTCATAATTTTCATTTTCATGTAAAATTGTTGCATAAATGAAGGAAAGGAGCTTTGGTGAGATTCGTGACTGAAGGTTCTAGAAGCATTTGGACAGTGACTATTTATAAAAGTCGTCGTTTTTCCTGTGAGTTTTTGTAAAATCACATTTAAAAGTCGAGCCGTTTGTTTGTGTTTCAGTTGAAGCAGGATTCAGTGAAACGTCAGATTCATTCGGTGAATTTCGGATGTTACAGCGAAAGTGTCAGAAAAAGTTTGTTTTGACATAAAAAATACATTTTGACGTCAGAAATTTAATTGAAAGAGGAAAAGTGTTAAAATGCGTCACTGTTGATTTGTAAATCTCACTGTGTTTTCCATCATTTCCAAAAATATAAGTTATTTTAAATATAATTCCATTTTTAACAAGATGTTTCTCTGACTGAAATTTGTAAGACTTTAAATGCAGAAAAATGTTTTTATCCAAGTTTTTTCAAGGGGAAAATACGAGATGATCAAATGTAGAATTGAATAAAACGACAGAACGTTCAACAAACTCACTGGTGCAGCCCAAAAGCAAGAAGGGATATGAATATCCCACCTCCAGCGTCGTGGTCAGCATCACGAAGTGACGCCCCTCAAGGTGCAAGAGCTGAAAAAACACAAAAAACACAGGGCAGGGTCAGAGGGGGTCAGGGTCAGAGGGGGTCAGGGTCAGAGGGGGTCAGGGTCAGGGTCAGAGGGGGTCAGGGTCAGAGGGGGTCAGGGTCAGAGGGGGTCAGGGTCAGAGGGGGTCAGGGTCAGAGGAGGGTCAGGGTCAGACTCACTGTTCTGAGCGGTACCGATGAAAACACCGTCACTTTTGAATCTTCAAAGAAGAAAGAAAACTGCAGAAGAAGAGAAAATCATGAGCTCAACCTGAAAACAAACAAACAAACAACAACAACAACAAACAAACAACAACAACAACAAACAAACAAACAAACAAACAAACAACAAACAACAAACAAACAAAACAAACAAACAACAACAAACAAACAAACAAACAAACAAACAAACAAACAAACAAACAAACAAACAACAAAACAAAAACATGTAGTGAAAAAAAATTTTTGACTTTATTTGAGTTGAAGTGAAATTATCCACCAGTGGAATAAATTTGTTTGTCTTAATTTAAACAATGTTCTCAGTCCTGGTCTGGTCCTGGTCTGGTCCTGGTCTCAGTCCTGGTCTCAGTCCTGGTCTCAGTCCTGGTCTGGTCCTGGTTTCCTGATCACGTGATAGTCTAGCTGGGCGCACGTCCGGGCCCGTCCCGACACTCCGGGTTGAGTCCGGGTTGAGTCCGGGTTGAGTCCGGGTTGAGTCCGGGTTGAGTCCGGGTTGAGTCCGGGTTGAGTCTGGGTTGAGTCCGGGTTGAGTCCGGGTTTAGGACTGAGACTAGGACTGAGACCGGTTTAGACCTGGTTTAGTCCTGGTTCAGTCCATTATCCATTTTTTTTCCATTTTTCATTTAAACACAAAATCAAAAACTGAAAAGACGAATCATTATCTGTTTCTTCATTTTGGTTTTGGAGAAAAATAATGAAGAAAACAGTTGTTTTTTCCATTTTCTTTCTTTTTTTTTTTTTTTTTTGAAAACGAATGAACGAACGACACACGGATTCAGTCGGTGCTACAAATGTGCATTTAACAAGGACTTGATGCACGAGAAGTTCCCACTCAGCAGCTCGCGTCCCCTTCAAAGTCGCTCGCCGACGGGTTTGGAGATGAAGAAAATCATTTATTTGTGCACATAAAGCAAATGTCTCAGAGAAACACAATGAGAAGTAACATAATGTGACAATTTTTTATTCTCCATCGCCCTCCTTCATTGTCTCCAGTGGGAAGAAATAAATACAATTAAATATATAATAATAATAATAATAATAATAATAATAATAATAATAATAAAGTAATAAGTATATTCAATCAATAAGTAAATAAATAAATATAGGAAAAAGAGGGAAATACTTTTTTTACCTTCTTTTTTTTTTTTTTAAGAACAAAAATGTGATTAATTAATTACATGCCTGTTATTATGACGATTCTGAAGTCCGACTTTTTGCACTGATAAACGCTCAGTGGTTTTTGTTTTCCGGGCGTCTGACCGCGGCCGAAGCTCCGCCTCCTTCTTAAAATCGTCTCCATTTTTTCCAGCCTCTAAAATGAGTCGCTCTCCGGGATGTTTGTTTTTTAAAGGAGCTCGGACACCCGCGGGAGTAGCTCAGGGTCGATGACGAGGCCCCGCCCCCTCCTCCTCTTCTTCACCTGTCCTCACCTGCGTTGCACCTGTCAAGTCGCGGAGCTCGTACCGACAGGGGCCGGTCACCACGGCGCTCCCCGTGTATTTCACGTCCACGTTCTCGGTCACCACGCACAAGTTTGACGGATCAGACGTTCGGTATCCCAAGAAACACGTGTACATCTTCCCCTCGAACACGCTGACACATCACATGAGACACGACACACAACACACGACACACGACACGACACACATGAGACACGACACACAACACACGACACACATGAGACACGACACACAACACACAACACACGACACACACACACGACACACATGACACGACACACGACACACACACGACACACAACACACGACACACATGAGACACGACACACAACACACACGACACACACACGACACACATGAGACACGACACACGACACACAACACACATGAGACACGACACACAACACACGACACACATGAGACACGACACACAACACACGACACACAACACACATGAGACACGACACACAACACACGACACACAACACACGACACACATGAGACACGACACACACGACACACGACACACATGAGACACGACACACACACACACACACACACACACACACGACACACATGAGACACGACACACACACGCACACACACACACACACACACGACACACATGAGACACGACACACGACACACACACAACACACGACACACATGAGACACGACACACAACACACGACACACAACACACGACACACATGAGACACACACACACGACACACACATCGACACACACGACACGACACGACACACGACACATGAGACACACGACACACACACACACACGACACACACGACACGACACACATGAGACACGACACACAACACACGACACACATGAGACACGACACACAACACACGACACACAACACACGACACACATGAGACACGACACACAACACACGACACACGACACGACACACATGAGACACGACACACAACACACGACACACACACACGACACACATGAGACACGACACACACACAACACACGACACACATGAGACACGACACACAACACACGACACACATGAGACACGACACACAACACACGACACACATGAGACACGACACACACACACGACACACGACACACAACACACGACACACATGACACGACACACGACACACACACACACACGACACACACGACACACATGAGACACGACACACATGAGACACGACACACAACACACGACACACAACACACAACACACATGAGACACACACACACACACGACACACACGACACGACACACGACACACATGACACGACACACACACGACACACAACACACGAGACAAGACACACGAGACACAAGACACACGACACACAACACACGACACACAACACATGAGACACGACACACAACACAAGACACATGACACACGAGACAGGACACACGAGACACGACACACAAGACACATGACACACAACACATGACACACGAGACAGGACACACGAGACACGACACACAACACACAAGAGACACGACACACAACACACAACATGACACACAACACACGACACACAACACACGAGTGAGACAAGAGGCATGATTTAGTCCTGGTTTAGTCCTGGTTTAGTCCTGTTTTAGTCCTGGTTTAGTCCTGGTTCAGTCCTGGTTTAGTCCTGGTTTAGTCCTGTTTTAGTCCTGGTTTAGTCCTGGTTCAGTCCTGGTTTAGTCCTGGTTTAGTCCTGTTTTAGTCCTGGTTTAGTCCTGGTTCAGTCCTGGTTTAGTCCTGGTTTAGTCCTGGTTTAGTCCTGGTTCAGTCCTGGTAGTCCTGGTTTAGTCCTGGTTTAGTCTGGTTAGTCCTGGTTTAGTCCTGGTTTAGTCCTGGTTTAGTCCTGGTTTAGTCCTGGTTTAGTCCTGGTTTAGTCCTGGTTTAGTCCTGTTTTAGTCCTGGTTTTAGTCCTGGTTCAGTCCTGGTTTAGTCCTGGTTTAGTCCTGTTTTAGTCCTGTTTAGTCCTGGTTCAGTCCTGGTTTAGTCCTGTTTAGTCCTGGTTTAGTCCTGGTTTAGTCCTGTTTTAGTCCTGGTTTAGTCCTGGTTTAGTCCTGGTTTAGTCCTGGTTCAGTCCTGGTTTAGTCCTGGTTCAGTCCTGGTTTAGTCCTGGTTTAGTCCTGGTTTAGTCCTGGTTTAGTCCTGGTTTAGTCCTGGTTTAGTCCTGGTTTAGTCCTGGTTCAGTCCTGGTTCAGTCCTGGTTTAGTCCTGGTTTAGTCCTGGTTTAGTCCTGGTTTAGACTCACATAAATCTTCTCGTAATATCGTCCATAAACCTTCGTGGAACAGCCCAACATCAAAGTGGTCGGAGCCATAATCGCCTCTGGAACAGAAGCACCGATACTCACTCACAGCTGATATCGATACTCTTGCACAGCCGATACTCCGTTACTGACACTCACGTACAGTTGATTCTGATACTTAGACACAACCTATACCGATACTCACCTACAGCCGATACTCCGATACGATACCCAGACACAATCGATACTCTGATACCGATTGTCCCGTTACAAACACACTTGTTGTTCAGCTCTCGTACCTGTCATGTGACTCGTCAGGTGCGACAGGGCGGCGGCCGTCAGGAGCAGCAGGAACATGTTGGACCAGCAGGGGGCGGCGACGCAAACACCACACTGACCAACACAAGAAGAATTTTACTGCGAGGAACTTTGACTCAGCGACGCAGAATTTAAAAGGAAACGTTCAAACAAACAAATACAAACCCCTAAACCTGAGTGTGAGTGCGGCTCACCTGTGGCTCACCTGAGGTTCACCTGTGACTCACCTGTGGCTCACCTGTGACTCACCTGAGGCTCACCTGTGGCTCACCTGTGACTCACCTGTGGCTCACCTGTGGCTCACCTGTGACTCACCTGTGGCTCACCTGTGACTCACCTGAGGCTCACCTGTGGCTCACCTGTGACTCACCTGTGGCTCACCTGTGGCTCACCTGAGGCTCACCTGTGGCTCACCTGTGACTCACCTGTGGCTCACCTGTGGCTCACCTGAGGTTCACCTGCGGCTCACCTGAGGTTCTCCTGCGACTCACCTGTGGCTCACCTGAGGCTCACCTGCGGCTCACCTGAGGTTCACCTGTGACTCACCTGTGGCTCACCTGAGGCTCACCTGTGGCTCACCTGTGAGGCTCACCTGTGGCTCACCTGTGACTCACCTGAGGCTCACCTGTGGCTCACCTGTGACTCACCTGAGGCTCACCTGTGGCTCACCTGTGACTCACCTGAGGAGCAGCGCTGCAAATTCTTAATTTGACCAAAAATAAAATTTCCTAGTGGATTTTCCTTTGAGGTGTCGCTTCACGTTGTCCAGTCGTCACTCTGTCCTCTGAGTCCTTTACCCGCCCCTATTTATACCAGCAGCTCCGCCCCCTGCCGCCCTCGCCGTCTACGCCCCCGCCGCCCTCCTGCCCCTGCCGCCCTGCCCTGCCGCCGCCCTCCTGCCCCCTGCCGCCTTCCTGCTCCTGCCTAAAGTGATGAAACATCTGCAGACTGACTTAAAGTCCCTAAAACTCAATTTATGTTTGTGCGTCAAATTGTCTGTGCTGCGACACAGAGCGTCTGCGTCGACGTGACCTCCTCCTCGACAATAAGAGCTGTGATTGGTCCTCACTACGTCTGATCTACACACATTTCTGGTGCTTCACTTTCCTGCTTCAGCCACTGAGCCACTGAGCCACTGAACCACTGAGTCACTGAGCCTTTGAACCACTGAGTCACTGAGCCACTGAACCACTGAACCACTGAGCCACTGAGCCACTGAACCACTGAGTCACTGAGCCACTGAACCACTGAGTCACTGAGCCTTTGAACCACTGAGTCACTGAGCCACTGAACCACTGAACCACTGAGCCACTGAGCCACTGAGTCACTGAGCCACTGAACCACTGAGTCACTGAGCCTTTGAACCACTGAGTCACTGAGCCACTGAGCCACTGAACCACTGAGTCACTGAGCCACTGAGTCACTCAGCCTCAACCTGCAGCTCTCACCTTTCTCCTTTCCACAAAACTTTAATGTTCTCATTTCATGTTGTTTGATGTTCTCCTTTGATGTTCTCGTTTGATGTTCTCATTTGATGTTCTCATTTGATCTTCTTATTTGATCTTTTCGTTTGATCTTCTTGTTTGATCTTTTTGTTTGATATTTTCATTTGATCTTCTCGTTTGATGTTTGTGCAGGTTTATCAGAGAGGAGTCTGTTTCCTCCTACACCTGTATCTGTATTTACACCTGTATATACACCTGTATTTACACCTGTATATACACCTGTATATACACCTGTATATACACCTGTATATACACCTGTATTTACACCTGTATTTACACCTGTGTATACACCTGTATATACACCTGTATATACACCTGTATTTACACCTGTATTTACACCTGTATATACACCTGTATATACTCCTGTATATACACCTGTATATACACCTGTATATACTACCTGTATATACACCTGTATATACACCTGTATATACACCTGTATTTACACCTGTATATACACCTGTATTTACACCTGTATTTACACCTGTATTTACACCTGTATATACACCTGTATTTACACCTGTATTTACACCTGTGTATACACCTGTATATACACCTGTATATACACCTGTATTTACACCTGTATTTACACCTGTATATACACCTGTATATACTCCTGTATATACACCTGTATATACACCTGTATTTACACCTGTATATACGCCTGTATTTACACCTGTATATACACCTGTATTTACACCTGTATATTACACCTGTATATACACCTGTATATACACCTGTATATACACCTGTATATACACCTGTATTTACACCTGTATATACGCCTGTATTTACACCTGTATATACGCCTGTATTTACACCTGTATATACACCTGTATATACACCTGTATTTACACCTGTATATACACCTGTATATACACCTGTATTTACACCTGTGTTTACACCTGTATTTACACCTGTATTTACACCTGTATATACACCTGTATATACACCTGTATTTACACCTGTATATACACCTGTATATACACCTGTATTTACACCTGTGTTTACACCTGTATTTACACCTGTATTTACACCTGTATATACACCTGTATATACACCTGTATTTACACCTGTATTTACACCTGTATATACACCTGTATTTACACCTGTATTTACACCTGTATATACACCTGTATTTACACCTGTATTTACACCTGTATTTACACCTGTATATACACCTGTATTTACACCTGTATTTACACCTGTATATACACCTGTATATACACCTGTATTTACACCTGTATTTACACCTGTATTTACACCTGTTCACCTTCAGCGTTTGTTCTGAGCAGCTGAACTTTCATCTCTAGAAGCAGAAATCTGAGTCTCCCTGAAGAAAAACTTTGGAGTTTTTGTTTTATTTCATTTTATTTAATGTAGAAACGTTGTGAATTAAATTGCATAATTATGTGTAATGTACATTTTACACATACTTTATATCACATCGATCTGTGGAGACGACGGAATCAAACAAACAAAAATAACAACAACTCAAAAAACAACTGAACGCAACAACAACACAACAGTTTAACACTGAAAAAACACACATTTACACACACACACACACACACACATTTACACACACACGCACACACACATTTACACACGCACACACACACACATGTACACACACACACACATTTACACACACACACACACACACACACATTTACACACACACACACACACACACACACACACATTTACACACACACACACACACACACACACACACATTTACACACACACACACATTTACACACACATTTACACACACACACACACACATTTACACACACACACACGCACACACACATTTACACACGCACACACACACATTTACACACGCACACACACACACATTTACACACGCACACACACACACATTTACACACACACACACACACATTTACAAAGACACAATACAAATGAACAGTCTGGACCAGGACCTGATCCAGTCCAGGTCCTGGTCCTGGTCCTGGTTTAGTTCTTTTGTGTCTTCTGCAGACAGACTCCGCCCCCTGCGCTCTCATTGGTCGGTCCCGTGCGTCCCGGAGCTTGTGATTGGCCGGTCGATGTTGGGGTCGTGGTCGCTATGGTAACACTTCCCTAAACTCTTGATGACGCTGAGACTCTGGCACAGACCTCGCTCCAGGATCCAGGCCTCCGAGTCCGAGTCCGGGTCTCCGATCAGGACCAGGCTCTCCATGGACGTCTGCAGGTACCGGACCCCGACCACCACCAGGAGCTGAGGACCAGGATCACAACCGGACCAGGATCACAACCGGACCAGGATCACAACTGGACCAGGATCACAACTGGACCAGGATCACAACTGGACCGAGACCGAGCAGGACCACAACCAGGGTCACAACCGGACCAGGATCACAGCCAGACCAACAAGGATCACAACAGGTCTAGAGAAGTATCCTAACCGGTCTAGAGGAGGATGTGGGCGGGTCCAGAGGAGGATGTGGGCGGGTCCAGAGGAGGATGTGGGCGGGTCTAGAGGAGGATGTGGGCGGGTCTAGAAGAGGATCCTAACCGGTCTAGAGGAGGATGTGGGCGGGTCTAGAAGAGGATCATAACCAGTCTAGAGGAGGATCCTAACCGGTCTAGAGGAGGATGTGGGCGGGTCTAGAGGAGGATGTGGGCGGGTCCAGAGGAGGATGTGGGCGGGTCCAGAGGAGGATGTGGGCGGGTCTAGAGGAGGATGTGGGCGGGTCTAGGAGAGCATCATAACCGGTCTAGAGGAGGATCATAACCGGTCCAGAGGAGGATGTGGGCAGGTCTAGAAGAGGATCCTAACCGGTCTAGAGGAGGATGTGAGCGGGTCCAGAGGAGGATGTGGGCGGGTCTAGAGGAGGATGTGGGCGGGTCTAGAAGAGGATCCTAACCGGTCTAGAGGAGGATGTGGGCGGGTCCAGAGGAGGATGTGGGCGGGTCTAGAGGAGGATGTGGGCGGGTCTAGAGGAGGATGTGGGCGGGTCTAGAAGAGGATCATAACCAGTCTAGAGGAGGATCCTAACTGGTCTAGAGGAGGATGTGGGTGGGTCTAGAAGAGGATCATAATCGGTCTAGAGGAGGATCCTAACTGGTCTAGAGGAGGATGTGGGTGGGTCTAGAAGAGGATCCTAACTGGTCTAGAGGAGGATCCTAACCGGTCTAGAGGGGGATGTGGGTGGGTCTAGAAGAGGATGTGGGCGGGTCTAGAGGAGGATGTGGGCGGGTCTAGAGGAGGATGTGGGCGGGTCTAGAGGAGGATGTGGGCGGGTCTAGAGGAGGATCATAATCGGTCTAGAGGAGGATCCTAACTGGTCTAGAGGAGGATGTGGGTGGGTCTAGAAGAGGATCCTAACTGGTCTAGAGGAGGATCCTAACCGGTCTAGAGGGGGATGTGGGTGGGTCTAGAAGAGGATGTGGGCGGGTCTAGAGGAGGATGTGGGCGGGTCTAGAGGAGGATGTGGGCGGGTCTAGAGGAGGATGTGGGCGGGTCTAGAGGAGGATCATAACCGGTCTCGCTCACCTCGAAGCCCCAGACGCCGAGCGCCGTCAGACTGATCAGGTTCAAAATAGACGAATAGTGACGCCCGAGCACCTCCCGACAGCCCCGCCCCCACAGCCCCAGCGAGCGAGACGATTGGACGAGGGACAGGAAGTGAGGGGCGGGGCGAGAGCGCAGGTGCGTCTGTGGGCAGGGCCACGGGGAGGCGGGGTCACAGCAGCTGAACGGCACCGAGTCCGACAGGTAAACACCTGCCACGTTAGACCTGAGGCGACTGAGAGAGACCTGAGTTAGACCTGAGTTAGACCTGGTTTAGTCCTAGTTTAGTCCTGGTTTAGTCCTGGTTTAGTCCTGGGTTAGTCCTGGTTTAGTCCTGGGTTAGTCCTGGTTTAGTTCTGGTTTTGTCCTGGGTTAGTCCTGGTTTAGTCCTGGGTTAGTCCTGGTTTAATTCTGGTTTAGTCCTGGGTTAGTCCTGGTTTAGTCCTGGTTTAGTTCTGGTTTTGTCCTGGGTTAGTCCTGGTTTAGTCCTGTTTTAGTCCTGGTTTAGTTCTGGTTTAGTCCTGGTTTAGTCCTGGGTTAGTCCTGGTTTAGTCCTGTTTTAGTCCTGGTTTAGTTCTGGTTTAGTCCTGGGTTAGTCCTGGTTTAGTCCTGGTTTAGTTCTGGTTTAGTCCTGGGTTAGTCCTGGTTTAGTCCTGGGTTAGTCCTGGTTAGTCCTGGTTTAGTTCTGGTTTAGTCCTGGGTTAGTCCTGGTTTAGTCCTGGTTTAGTTCTGGTTTAGTCCTGGGTTAGTCCTGGTTTAGTCCTGGTTTAGTTCTGGTTTTGTCCTGGGTTAGTCCTGGTTTAGTCCTGGTTTAGTTCTGGTTTAGTCCTGGGTTAGTCCTGGGTTAGTCCTGGTTTAGTCCTGGTTTAGACTCACTCTTGGACTCTGGGGTCGGTCCGGTCCAGGTACCGGTCTGAGACCCACTGGACCCTGAACCAGTCCTGGTACTGGTCTTTGCCGCAGCAGTTCATCTGGATCTGGACCAGGTCCAGTCTGGTCTTGAGTCCCGGGTTCCGGTCCGAGTCTTTGTAGCGCCTCATGGAGTTGCTAAGCCCCGCCTCCAGCGCGGCGTCCAATCGGCCGCTGGCGTTGAGGCCGAGGCAGAGGGCGGCGGCCAATAACACGCCGGCGGTGAGCAGCAGGGACACGCCCACGTACGGCGCCAGGACCAGACGCCAGCGCAGAAACCGGTTGAGATCCGAGCAGTCCAGGCAGAGCCGGGCCCCGGTCAGGTTTAAGACGCAGGCCCCGAGTCCGGTCCAGACCAGGACCACCGGGACCCACCACAGGACGTCCTCTGACATCACTTCCTCCCACCGCCGCAGCTCCGCCCACAGGTACACGCCCACGCCCACCAGCACCGCCCCCGTCACCACCGAGACCCAGTTCAGAACCACCAAGACCCGAGCCAAGACCCGGCGGTCCGACCGGGACAGGACCACACGCCCCACGGCCATCACAGACCGGACCAAGACCGGGTCTACGACCAGACCAAAGGACGGACCTGGGTCTTCAGACCATCTTCAGATCCAAAAGAGTCCTGTTCAAAAACCAGGTCTGGTCCTTGGATCCTGGTCTGGTCTGAACGAGGTCCCAGTGGGTCCCGGACTCTGGACCAGGGTCTGCGTCAGCCATTCTGGACTCTCATGAGACCTGGTCCTGATCCACAGTCCTGCTCTGGTGCTGGTCCTGGTCCAAGCCTGATCTGGTTCTGGTCTGATCCTGGTCTGATCCTGGTCTGATCCTGGTCCTGGTCCTGCTCAGACTACGTTTCCCAGAGTGCACTGCAGCTCGGTCCTGGATGAGTCCAACATGGCCGCTCAGATCCACAAGATCTGAAAAACACAAAACCTGGTTTAGTCCTGGTTTAGACCTGGTTTGGTCCTGGTTTAGTCCTGGTTTAGTCCTGGTTTAGACCTGGTTTGGTCCTGGTTTAGACCTGGTTTAGTCCTGGTTTAGTCCTGGTTTAGACCTGGTTTAGACCTGGTTTAGTCCTGGTTTAGTCCTGGTTTAGACCTGGTTTAGACCTGGTTTAGACCTGGTTTAGTCCTGGTTTAGTCCTGGTTTAGACCTGGTTTTAGTCCTGGTTTAGACCTGGTTTAGTCCTGGTTTAGTCCTGGTTTTAGTCCTGGTTTAGACCTGGTTTAGACCTGGTTTAGTCCTGGTTTAGTCCTGGTTTAGACCTAGTTTAGACCTGGTTTAGTCCTGGTTTAGTCCTGGTTTAGACCTAGTTTAGACCTGGTTTAGTCCTGGTTTAGTCCTGGTTTAGTCCTGGTTTAGACCTGGTTTAGACCTGGTTTAGTCCTGGTTTAGTCCTGGTTTAGACCTAGTTTAGACCTGGTTTAGTCCTGGTTTAGTCCTGGTTTAGACCTAGTTTAGACCTGGTTTAGTCCTGGTTTAGTCCTGGTTTAGTCCTGGTTTAGTCCTGGTTTAGACCTGGTTTAGTCCTGGTTTAGTCCTGGTTTAGTCCTGGTTTAGTCCTGGTTTAGACCTGGTTTAGTCCTGGTTTAGACCTGGTTAGTCCTGGTTTAGTCCTGGTTTAGTCCTGGTTTAGACCTGGTTTAGTCCTGGTTTAGTCCTGGTTTAGTCCTGGTTTACTGAGGTCACTGCTGTGGATTCTTGTCACTTCTACAGTAACATTAAAGTACTAATACTACTACTGCAGTACTACAACTACTATTACTACCTACTAAATACTGTCTATACCAGTAATACTACTACTCCTAATTCTGATACTACTACTACTACTACCACTATTACTATCACTACTACTACTACTACTACTACTACTACTACTACTACTACTACTTGTACTGCACAGAACAGAACTCACTTCAGTCTGGGATCCTCCTGAAACTACAAGTCCAAGACCAGATCCTCCTGAGTCTGGCTTAGTCCTGGTCCAGTCCTGGTTCAGACCTGGTCCAGTCCTGGTTCAGACCTGGTCCAGTCCTGGTTCAGACCTGGTTCAGACCTGGTTCAGACCTGGTTCAGACCTGGTTTAGTCCCGGTTGCTCGAGGACAGGAGCGTAATGGCGGCGCGAGTTAATCCTCTTAAACTAATCACTGCTTCATCACTTCAACTGATCCAGGACCAGGACCAGACCAGGACCAGACCAGGACCAGACCAGACCAGAACCAGACCAGGACCAGGACCAGACCAGGACCAGACCAGGACCAGACCAGGACCAGACCAGACCAGGACCAGGACCAGACCAGACCAGACCAGGACCAGGACCAGACCAGGACCAGACCAGACCAGACCAGACCAGGACCAGGACCAGACCAGGACCAGACCAGACCAGACCAGACCAGGACCAGACCAGGACCAGGACCAGACCAGGACCAGACCAGGACCAGACCAGGACCAGGCCAGACGCCTGCTCCTGTCCTGCTCCTGTCCTGTCCTGCTCCACCTGATGACATCAGCAGGTGTAAGAGTTGTGCAGAGAAAAACCGAAACATGTGAATGACACAAAACACAACTCACCACTGCTCCAGGGCATCAGGGTTAAAGTTTCTGCTCCAGGGCATCAGGGTTAAAGTTTCTGCTCCAGGGCATCAGGGTTAAAGTTTCTGCTCCAGGGCATCAGGGTTAAAGTTTCTGCTCCAGGGCATCAGGGTTAAAGTTTTTGCTCCGGGGCATCAGGGTTAAAGTTTTTGCTCCGGGGCATCAGGGTTAAAGTTTTTGCTCCAGGGCATCAGGGTTAAAGTTTCTGCTCCGGGGCATCAGGGTTTTTCTGGGTTAAACGCAGGAGTGTTGGTGGTGCGGTTCCGCGTGGGGCCAGCAGAGGGCGCCCTCGCTCCACACACCGACTCTGAGCCACGGGGAGGAGTCTGAGGAAGTCCTCCTGAAGTCCGGGCCAAGTCCAACTCCTGTCCCTGATCTGGTCCTAGTCCAGATCCTAGTCTGGGTCTGGTCCTAGTCTTGGTCTGTGAGAGATTTAAGCAAACAGGACTCAACCAGGTCTGGACCAGGACTGAACCAGGACCACACCAGGACTAAACCAGGTCTGAACCAGGACTGGACCAGAACTGGACCAGGACTAAACCAGGACTGAACCAGGACTGAACCAGGACTGGACCAAGACTGAACCAGGTTTAGACCAGGTTTAAACCTGGTCTAAACCAGATCTAGACCAGGTCTGCAGCAGGTCCTGGGGCAGGGGGAGGGGCAGGGGGAGGAGACACAACTCAAAGACTTTCTGTGTTTTGAGTTTGATTTGAACGTGGCACAAGAGACACGAGGGACAAGAGACACGAGGGACACGAGGGACAAGAGACACGAGGGACAAGAGACACGAGGGACACGAGGGACAAGAGACACGAGGGACAAGAGACACGAGGGACAAGAGACACGAGGGACACACGAGTAGACACCGGAGGAGACAAGAGGACACAAGAGGAAGAGGAGACACTAGAGGAGACTAGAGGAGACACTAGAGGAGACACGTGAGGAGACACAACAGGAGACACGTGAGGAGACACTAGAGGAGACACTAGAGGACACTAGAGGAGACACGTGAGGAGACACTAGAGGAGACTAGAGGAGACACTAGAGGAGACACTAGAGGAGACACTAGAGGAGACACGTGAGGAGACACTAGAGGAGACACTAGAGGAGACACGTGAGGAGACACGTGAGGACACTAGAGGAGACACTAGAGGAGACACGTGAGGACACTAGAGGAGACACTAGAGGAGACACGTGAGGAGACACGTGAGGACACTAGAGGAGACACTAGAGGAGACACTAGGAGACACTAGAGGAGACACGTAGAGGAGACACTAGAGGAGACTAGAGGAGACACTAGAGGAGACACTAGAGGAGACACGTGAGGAGACACGTGAGGAGACACGTGAGGAGACACTAGAGGAGACACGTGAGGAGACACTAGAGGAGACACTAGAGGAGACACTAGAGGAGACACTAGAGGAGACACTAGAGGAGACACTAGAGGAGACACTAGAGGAGACACTAGAGGAGACACTAGAGGAGACACTAGAGGAGACACTAGAGGAGACACTAGAGGAGACACTAGAGGAGACTAGAGGAGACACTAGGAGACACTAGAGGAGACACTAGAGGAGACACTAGAGGAGACACGTGAGGAGACACTAGAGGAGACACGTGAGGAGACACTAGAGGAGACACTAGAGGAGACACGTGAGGAGACACTAGAGGAGACACTAGAGGAGACACTAGAGGAGACACGTGAGGAGACACTAGAGGAGACACTAGAGGAGACACTAGAG